CCCCCCAGCTCGCCCCTCGTAGACTCTCCTCGCGTAGTTAATAAATAACGCGCGCGCGACGAAGGCGATCACGTCGTCTGCAACGCGTGCGCGTCGTTCGGCGGGATAATCGACGCATACTCGCTCGATGAATGAATCGAGAGATCGCCACGAGATCGTTATCATATCGGCGCGATGTGGCGCGCGGTGATTTATCGCGCCGGCGGGGAAACAGCTCGAGAAACAGACTCGCCGAGTCGTCGACTTGCTTTACGAGCCGTGGAATCGTTCGCGACAAACGCGACGTGCGCCGTATCTCACTGAAAGAAAGAGCAGACAGAGAGAGACAGAGGGTGGGAGAGAGAAAGAGAGAGAGAGATAAATATATAGATGCCTTTATTATCGCCCTTGGAAAATACCTGGTTATTGCTGCGACAGAATTTAAGTTACGCAGTGGTAACTTACGAAAATAAAAAAAGGAAAAATGATAAAGAACGTTGAGTGTAAAAGGAAAAAAAATATGCACGCTGTAATAGGTAATATAATTCGAGTTATGTAGCAATTAATTACGCAAATAAAATACAAAAGGATAGGAATAGATAAAGAAAGCTGAATGCGAAAGAAAAAAAAAAAAGTGCGAACTACAATATGTAATGCAATTCGAGTTGCGCGGTGGTGAATTGCAAAAATAAAGCGTAAAAACGAAAAAGGATAAAGAAGGGGTTGAATGGCAAAGGGGAAGAAATACGAACCGAAGAAATGCGAAGCGATAGGTAATATAATTCGTGTTACGCCAGTAGTTAATTATAAAAATAAAGCGAAAGAAAGAGAGGAGAGGATGAGGAGGGCTGAGTGCGAAAGAACGAAAATTGTGAGCTGCAGGAAACGAAAGATAAAGATAATAAAAGAGGAGAAAAGATGGAGGAGAGAAAGAGAGACAGAGGGAGGGAGAAGTTTTTGACGTCGCGGACGTGCCAGCGCGAAAGGTATACGCGAATACAATTATTAGCCGGCACGAAGTGGCTTCGTCGCGATGGTTCTCGCGACGGCGACGACGGTGCCACCGGCTCATCTTTAATTCATGTCATCCGGGGCCCCGGCGCGATCGATAAATTATAATTTCACCCGGTATCGCACGCCGCCGGGCTGACGGTTATCCGTCAGACACGCGGCCGATCACGTATTTATACGATTTCCTTTGAGCGACCACGCCATGCACGCTTCCGCTCGCTCGAACGTCCGCGTGCGGGCGTGATAACGGTCTCGCTCTCCTTATCGGACCCGCGAATTCTTGCCGTCGCTGATCCCAAGGGCGACATTCCGAGACACGACGTCGTCTTCGTAGTCGTCTTCGCGTTACGAAGTTGCGCGCGCGCGCGCTGTATTCCCCCGTTCATCTCGTATGCGGGGATGTTTACATAATTCCAAGATACCGTATATATGTATACGTGCATGTGTACACGTGTGTCTACGTTGTGTAGACAGTATACCCGCGCTCCCGTGCAGAACTATAAACGAGGAATATATCGCGAATCGAAATATGGTAAACCCCTCGAATTTACATGGCGGCTAAAAATGTATGAATCCATAAAGGCATCACGCGATCGACGCGACTATTTTCCTCCTCCGACGAGAGAGAATTCCCCCCCCAGAAGTAGAGAGAGAGGGAGGACGCGAATTTCTCTCTCTCTCTCTCTTTCCTTTTATCTCTCTTTTCCACCCTTTGGCGATCGTAGCGCGATAAGAGAGCGTCAGAGGGAAAATAAAGGTCCGTAATCCCAGAGCAAATATTTATCCTTGCAGACTGAAGCAGGAAAGCCACGGCGGTGCCTGGTGTCCGAAGCAGCAGATCACGACGGAGCCGCGCGAGTGGCTGGAAATCGATCTTCACACGGTGCACATGATCACCGCGACCGGCACGCAGGGCCGCTTCGGTAACGGCCAGGGCGCCGAGTTCTCCGAGGCGTACCTGCTCGAGTACTGGCGGCCGAAGCTGGGGAAATGGGTACGCTACCGGGACTTTAGCGGTGAAGAGGTGAGTGTAAGCGAGTCGTCGTCGTCGTCGGTCTTTAACGTGTAATAATGACGTCGCATGGGCCACCGTTTATCGGGGTCGCTGTTATCGGGCAACGATTATTGAATATGACAGGAGGAACGATCGGGGTCAGCAGCGCGTCTCGAAATAATGCAACGGTGTAATGGGACGGTTATAGATCGCGCGACAATTTTATATTAAAATTGTGTGTATTATATAAAATTGTGTGTATATCTATCTTCACCTTCTTCAATATTTTAATTCTTTACCTTCTTTAATACGTGAACGAACTGATGAACTACTAGAATTCACATAGTGATTTAGAGTGGTATGCATAATTTACCGTCTCTTTCGCTTCCTCTCTCTCTCTCTCTCTCTCTCTATTTATCTATCTCTACCTCTCTATCTCTCTTTATTCGCAGTACTGCACTCGACTTCTTTATTATGCCTCGATCTGCTCGAGATTCACATGCAATTTTATCACATTGTGTCATTACGTACCGTGTGTATCCGAAGTGATCTCACCCTAAAGGAGTTAAATAAATCTATCCGTCTACCCCCCTCTCTCTCTCTCTCTCTCTCTCTTTTCCACGGATGCTCGGTCGTAGAGAGACGTTTCGCCGAGCCGGCTCGCGCCGCGAGACGTAGGCCGCGTATAGGCGAAGCGGGCGGTTAAATTTAGTCGCGGGCGATACGCATAAAGCGAACGGGCGGTCCGCGCGCGCGCGGATTATTGCGAATGATTTGTAGCGGTGTCCGCGAGTCCGCGGAGCGACCGCGGGCAGTAACTAAAGCGTGACGTTAACAAGACGTAAATCTCCGATGTAATACGCGTCTAGCTCGACAGAGAGAAAGAGAGAGAGAGAAATCTGGCTCTCAAATGCGAGAAAGAGAGAGTGATAAAGAGAGAAAGGAAGACCAAGGCGCATATGACGTAACTCACGCGAAGATATACACGTGCCGGTAACCGTGAACCCCCGCGCGAGTCTTTAATTAGCGTCACCGGCTACGATAATCACACGCTCGCCGACGCGCGAGAATTTACTCGGTCGACGAAAACGCGGCGAGCCGCGGATTTACTTCGCCGCGACGAAGAAGGGGGCGACCTCTTCGTCGCCGGATTCGCGCGACCCATAAATCTCCGCCATCCGTAAACTCGCCGAACTGAGCGGCATACCGCGCGTCGAAACGCAGGAAACGCGTGTGCGAGTCCACCAGCCCGTCTCGTAAAGTCTCTCACTCGCGTTCGCCGATTTAACTTAAGTTAAATCACACGCGCGCGTGTTCGCTCGACACGCGGAAATGATTTTCTCTCTCTCCCTCTCTCTTCCTTTATTTTTTTCTAACGTTTAATTGCGTCTTAATTCGACCGTAATATCTGCATTGCGCAGAAAGAAATTTTCTTTCTCTTTCTCCCTCATTTTTTCTAATTTTTCTCTAACATTGAATTGTGCTTTAATTCGTGCTTTTAACGGCAGGCCGAGCGAAGCGATAATTTAGCCGCAATATTTGCCCCGCGCTAACGACTTTCCGCCTCTCTCATTTCTCTATTTTTCTTTAACATTGAATTGTGTGTTTTAATTTGCATTTTTGACGGTAAGCCGGACGAGGCGATGACTCAGCCGCGATATTTGCATTACGAGGATGAGTTTCTCTGCGCCTCTTCTCTTTCTCTATTTTTTAACGTTTAATTGCGTCTTAATTTCCCGTTTTCCGCGGTAAACGAGACGATGATTTGACCATAATATTTGCATTGCGTGGAAACAATTATTCTTTCTACAGCCCTTCCCCTCCTTCTCTCTCTCTCTCTCTCTCTCTCTCTCTCTCTCTCTTTCTCTCTCTCTCTCATTTTTTCTAATTTTTCTTTAATATTAAATCGTGTTTCAATTCGCATTTTTAACAGCAAACCGACCGAAGTGATAATTTAGCCGCAATATTTGCATTACGCGAACAATTTTCCATCTCTCTCTTTTTCTATTTTTCTTTAACATTGAATTATGTGTTTTAATTTGCGTTTTATACGAGGCGTTGACTTAGTCGTGATATTTGCATTGTGAAGATGATTTTCTCTGCGCCTCTCTCCTCCTCTATTTTTTTAACATTTAATTCCGTCTTAATTTGCGTTTTCAACGGTAAGCCAAACGAGGCGATGATTTGACCGTAATATTCGCATTAGACGAGAAGAATTTTTCTCTCTCTCTCTCTCTCTTGGAGAATAATAAACGCTACTCATTCGCTCAGTCACTCGCTCGCTCTCTCGCGGTCATCGATTTCGCGGAAGCGACGAAAGGAAAGAGAGACGACGAGCGGGCTCGCCGCTTGTCGTCGTTGTCGTGGAGTCGGGTCGAAGGCCAACTTTCCTCGGCCGGTTCGAGGAGGTGAGGGTGGTGCTACGCGAGCTTATTTGTACAGGAGGGCGGATCAATAAAATGAGGGAAGGGAAGGTCGTAGCGTGCACGCGGCTCGGACGGTTCCGCGCTCACCTACATACACGCCGCCGCGTGCGGCTTACCTGGTTTGAAATACGCGAGTCCTCCGGCAAAGTACACGAGCTCCGACGAAGGTCGAAGCCGGAGGAGCGCGCGTTTGCATGCACAGCTCCGCGGAGAAGGAGCGACTCGCCTTCGCGAATGTATTCTCCTTGATGCACGACGCCGTCGACGGCGGTGACGTTTCTACCCGAGTACGAGTACGCGACGGGCAAACGAGTGCGCTACTTTCGGCCGTACCAGATACCGAAGCGGATATCTATAGCGATATTGAGTTATCGATCGCGAGTTTAGCGATAAGCAGCGGTAGCCTCGGCGCGTTTCAACGCCTCGCGAGTCGCTCGAGGCTGGAAAGCCGCTGCTGCTGGTACCGCCATGGCCACCGGAGACTCGCGTTCCGCTCGCGATTAGGCGGATCGCCGAGCGGAACATTGCGATAATTGCTCCCTTACTCATAGAAGGAAATTACGAAAATTGTCCGCAATTGCATGATGTAAAGGATTTAATTCCATCTTTTAAAATGCGTTTTCTGAAATTACTGCTTTAAAGTTCCATTCATTGAAATCACCTTCTTTAAATTCCTTCTTCGGAAATTATTTTCCATAAAGGTGTATGGCCTATTAGTGCCGTGTTTTCAGTAACGCATTAAAGGGACCACTCATAATTATAATATTTATCAAGTAAAATTACGTTCCTCCATTCATTTCATTACCTAAATGATAATTTATAATAAATATTAATTTGAAACGAGGTAGGTGTATGCGCGATATTATAATTACGAAAATATTGTTTTTTATTTTTCTTATTCTAATCGCTATATCTATGCGTCATCTAATAGAGATACATTCTGAGATATAATAGAAAGAAGTATACAAGTGTTTAAATACGTACATATGTACATATATTTCGAGTATTGTTACACAGAGAAAATATTGTAGTAAGAATTGTCACAAAATTTTGCGATACTAGATCACATCATCCTACGACCTCTTTTAAAGTGGAACAACTTTTGCTCCAGACTCTGAAATATGTCAAACTTTTGGTGTCACTTTTATATATCGCAATATATATCAATTTGTATTTTTCTCATTATTCTTTCAGTGATGGGGTGATATATACAGGAAACGGCAGGAGGAAGAAAGAAAGAGAGGGAATTATCGCGCGTCTTCGAGAATGATCGCGATTATTCCCATCTAACGTTTTTATTTATTGGACGGCAGGGGGCCATTCGATCGGATTCTAGGTCGTTAAATTTCATAATGCCGTGGGTCGTGGGCGTTTGAAGTTGTCGGCCGTAAAAAATAGGTGACGACAACGCGCGCCGTACGGTTTCCACCGGGCGGCGAGTCGGTCGTCCGCGCTCGCGCGGCGGATCGGGTTGTTAAGAAAGATTATGCGTCGGATAAGCCGAGTGTCGTTGTGTAATTAAGCGAGGGACAGCGCGCGGCGCAGCGGGGGGAAGAGACACAAATTTCTGCGGGTTTATCTCTACCCGGGCGGCACGCGTTCTGGGTGGGCCCTTCTCGTTTCGTCGAGCGGCAGGTACCCGTGCCTGGCGCGCTCTACGGGCGAATTATACGGGGGATACGCGCGAATGTCGCGAGATGAGGGATATTTCTCGGATACTTGATTCGTGTTGTTGTCATCTCTCTCTCTCTCTCTCTTTTATTTCCACTCTTCTTGTTTTTTCTCTTTTTAACGACGAGAGACCGCGTCGTTTGAATCCCCGGGCGGAATAACCGCGCTGTGAATCAGTGTGCGAGAATAGTTCCCGTGTGTAATTTCTTCATGCCGTGCGCGACGTATTTCAAACTATTCTCTCTCTCTCTCTCTCTCTCTCTCTCTCTCTCTCTCTCTCTTTCTCTTTCTGTCTCTTTGCGCCGAAATGATGGCGAATCGGAACGACAAAGCGGCTGAATTTTTAATTTGGCGGATAATTTAGAGAAGGTGATTTTAGAAAAGCAATTTTAGGAAGGGAAAGAAAAAAAGAAAATAATTTCAATAAAGGGAATTAAGAAAAACGACGCTGTAGTATTAAAGACTGATATGCAGACATTACATATCAATTTCAGAATTATTGACTATTATGTTTTGAAAATAGCAGCAGTATGAAATTTACAATTTATAGTAATACTTGAAACACATGTACATATGCACGTACATATATATTTAACCCTCTAACCGCAAGGTTGGAATCGGATGCGACCCCACGGCTCGTTTATTTTACAGTATGTACGCGCTGTTTCTCTTCTTATGTAATGTTTCATGTTATTATTTATTTCTTTTACCCATTTTATATGTGGATTACATAAAAATGAACGATACAGAGCATGGGGTCGGATCCAACCCCACCTTTCTGGCTACATTGAAAATTCACCTTGCCGTTAGGAGGTTAACACTTATAATACACCTCTTTACATAATTTGTGCGTCTACCTACATAAATATAGTATTAATACAAAAAAATAATAATAATACTTTCATTATTAAATTATTAAATATTTTCGTATTT